GCCGTCACTGTGCCGCAAGAGCTAAATCAATGAAGACATCCAGGGGATATGCACTCATCTTCACCTCATTATCCTCCTACTCCTCCTACTCCTCCTCCTGCTCCTTCGCCCTCCCCTCGTTGTCCTCGTCCTCCTGCCCCTGAGCATCATCATCATCATCATCATCATCATCATCATCATCATCATCATCATCATCATGATCATGATCATCATCATCATCATCATCATCATCATCACCCCTTTCTTCCTCACACTCCTCATCACACCTCTCTCACCCTTCCCCGCTTGCCCCTTCCCCATTCCCATTCTCAGCATTTCCATCGACTTCCTCTTCCTCCGCGCTCCTGGTATCCTTCAGCGGCGGGCCCAGGGGGGAAGTGAGAAGGGGCGGGCCTTCCAAGGCTTCTGAGAAGCCCGCCGGCATTCTGAGAAGTTATCTTTGTTTTCAGAGAAGGCAAAGGAAACTTCTCAGAAGCCCCCTGGGCTTCTGAGAAGTCCCGCCGCCTTCTGAAGACGCCTTTTCCCTTTCACTTCCCCCCCATCGCTCGCCGCCGAATCCTGCTGAAGCTCCCCCCCTCGCTGCCGCTCAATCTCCAAATGCGCCCTCCCGAGCGTGGTCATTGAAATTCCAGACCCACGCCTCGTGGCAGTGGGCACAAACTCCAAAGACCACGCTCGGGGGGGGCATTTTTGGTTATCCATTGGTGTTTTGTGATATAACCCACAGAGCGCCAAGATACCTTCAGAAAATCAAAAGAGCCCCCCAAAAAATGTCCCCCCGAGCGTGGTCCTTGAAATTCCAAACCCTGTGGGCTGAAACTCCAAAGACCACGCTCGGGGGTGCATTCTTTTTGTTGATTGGATGGTTTGTGAGATTGCATCAGATCGCCAAGATACCTTCAGAACATCGGAAGAGCTCCCCAAAAAATGCCCCCCCGAGCGTGGTCCTTGAAATTCCAGACCCTGTGGGCTGGAACTCCAAAGACCACGCTCGGCGAGGCATTATTTTTGTTAATTGGTTGTGAGATTGCATCAGGTCGCCAAGATACCTTCAGAAAATCGGAAAAGCCGAAAAAAACATGCCCCTCCGAACGTGGTCCTCGAGATTCAAGAGGCACGCCTTCTGGCAGTGGGCTGGAAATTCAAGGACCACGCTCGGGGGGGCATTGCCTTGTGTTCATCGTGAAATCGCTCCGGGCTCACATTTCCGCAAAAACTGCTCCGAGCGAAACCCCCAACAAACCAGAAAAACTATGAAAAAGCGGTGCAAAAACATAAAAAGCATAAAAAAGCAACAAAAGTGAGGGAACCCTGTGTTTTCACAAGTGTCACCTGCGTCGGAAAAAAAGGAAAATCAAAGGTGTGAATGTAAAACAATGTTTTCTGAGAGTTTTATTTGTTTTTCAACGAAAAATAATTCGTGGGGACAGGTGGTCCCTGTGTCTGCACAGGGATCACACTCTCGCGTTACCGCTTTTTCTTTGAACAACAAATAGAATTCAAAGAAATCCGTGGTTTCCATAATCAAGAATTTGATTGTCCTTCTCCGAAACAGAGGATCCCTGTGAAAACACTAGGTTACCGCACTTTGTTGCTGCTCTTTCCCCTTGTGATGTTCTTCTATGTGTTTATGTGTGTTTTCGGGTTCGTTGGGTTTTTGGTTTCCAACAAGCCAGGAAACCACAAGAAACGGAAACAACAGAAAAAGTCAAACAAAAAAAAAAAAAAAAAAAAAGCAAAACAATGCGGGAACCCGGTGTTTTCACAAGGATCACTTGTTTCAGGGAAAGGTAATCAAAGGCTTGAATGTAAAAACACAAGGTTGTCTTTGAGATTAATTCGTTGTTCATAAAAAAAGGTCGTGGGGACAGGTGATCCGTGTGCCTGCTTGCGTTTTTACCAACAAGCCTTTTACTTCCCTTCTCCGAAACAGGTGACCCCTGTGAAAACACTGGGTTCCCGCACCTGTTTTGCTATATTTGTTCCCCCTTGCTACCTTGCTACTTCGCCGCGGCCTCGCCGAACAATGTAGCATGGTAGCAGGGTGGCAGGGTGGTGCGAAATCGATCCGCTACCCTGCTACCCTGCTATCCTGCTGCGGCTTCGCCGCCGAGCAAGGCAGCAGAGCAACAGGGCGGCAGGGCAGCAGGGCAACAGGGTAGGATGGTGGCAGGGTAGCAGTGTAGCCGAGTAGCCAAGTAGCCCGGTAGCCGGGTAGCGGGGTAACGGGGTAGCGGGGGAGCAGGGTAGCCGGGAGGGAACGGAACGTCCTCAGAGGAAACTTGAACCTGGCACGCCGCAGCAAGGCACGCGGCCCCAGCATCGGGTGGACTGGAGAATAAATCGGCCAAAATCGGCAGAAGTCAGCCTACCGCGCTGCGTCGTTGTAGGTCGCCGTGCGTCGTCGCACTCGGCGCCGAACGTCGTCGAATGTCGTCGTACTGGTCGTCGTCGTCGTCGTCGAACGTCGCCGCGCACGTGCTCACGTATTGTGAATCCAGACTCGTACTGACCCAATGGATAACTTCCACGATTGCCGCGAAAGAGAATCGGCGGAGAAGCTTGCACTCGGACCCATCGGGGGGCTCGTCCGGGGACGTCTGTGACCCTCCGTCCTCCCTCCGTCCTGCCTCCGTCCTCTGTCATCCGTCCTCCGTTCTCCTCCGTCCTCTTCCCTCTGTTTTCCGTCCGTCCCCGCTCGCCCCTGGGAGCCTTGATGTTAGGAACTGTTGTTTGTCACCGCTCGCCCTTGGGAGCCTAGGTCACATCAGCTAATTTACATGAAAGGTCGCTCTGGGGAAGCCACTGTGTTCACTGGCTGCCCGTGGGTATTCGGGGAATCGCCCCTCGGAAAAAAAAACCACAGGCAACCAATGAACACAGAGATGGGCCAGGATTGTTCATGGGCCCTCTCGCTCTTGGGAGCCTGGATGTTAACAGCTTGTGACGTTGCCGCTCGCCTTTTCGATCCTCGATGTGACGGCCTTGTTTGCCACCGTTCGCCCTTGGAAACCTTGGTCGTATCAACTCGTTCCCGTATCAGGTCGCTCTTGGAGAGCCACTGTGTCCACTGGTTGCCTGCGTTTCCTCGGGGGGTCGCCCCGCTGAAGAACCGCAGGCAACCAGTGAACACAGAGAAGGCCCGAGATGGTCTATGGCACTCTTTTCTCTTGGGGGCCTTCGTCGCATCAGCTTGTTTGCGTCAAAGGCCGCTCTGAGGGAGCCACTGCGTTCACTGGTTACCTGTGGTTCTCGGGAGGGGGCACCCCACCGAAGAACAACAGGCAACCAGTGAATACAGAGATGGCCCGAGATTGTTCGTGGCACCCTTCGCTCTCAAGAGCTTTGGTGGTAAGAGATTCCTTCGCTACCACTCGCCCTTGAGAGACTTGATATTGAGAGCCTTGTTTGTCGCCGCTCGCCCTCTGGAGCCTTGATCGTACCAGCTTGTTTACGTCACAGGTCGCTCGTAGCGAGCCTCAGTGCGCACTGATTGCCTGCGGGCGTCGGCCCTGTGGACGGAGGCCCCTCCACGGAGCGACAGAGCGGTGACGGGGGCCTCGGTGTCGGCCTCGTCGATTTGTTGTTTCTCGTCGGCCTCGGTGTCCCGTCTTTCTCGGCCTCCCGGCACCCAGTACTCACCTGCGAACAATCTCGCGGCATCACGCCACGGCGCTAATGAGCAATCTCGCGGCCGCACGCCACGGGCTGGAAAAAAACAGTGCCCTGACGGCATCGCAGAAACCTCGCAGCCTCGCGCTGCGGCTGGCCTGCCCTAGTTCTCAGCCGTTCTCCTACGCTTGGCATCTTGAAAGGCATCGGCGAGCTCCTGCTCTGTAGGAGCTGCCAAGCCGCCCAGTACGGCCTTCACCATGGCAAGCATTTCAAACGCCCTCTGTTGGAGGAGGACATCGCCACGAGTCCAGCTCGGCGCTGAAGGCTTGTTATAATGGGCCCACTGGAATCTCAAGAAACACATGTCGGTGAGAAGGCGGAAAGTTGACTCTGTCACCTGCCGTGTCCGAGGCGGCCAATAGCTGCTGTTCTGGAGCCACTGGCGCTCCACAGGTATTGAGCCTGAGTGCACGGGCAGGCCCGCGAGATGCAAAGCCAAGGCGCAGCGCCGCCACTTGATTAACCTTTCGAGGTGCACAGGCTTCAGGGGGCGTCGGTAGTGCGCAGCTTCAAGGTGTGCGTAGAACCTGCTGGACCAGGGAGCGCCTGGATGGGAGCCACGTCGAACCTCGGCGGTCCTCGGAAGGAGTATTGGCCTATGGGAGGGTGTGCCAAAATGGGGCGGCGGTGCCATGCGAACTGCGCCACTGGGATCTTAAGTGGAGCTCCCTATTGGGGCCACGAAACGTGTGAGGGGTGTGCCAAAATGGGGCGGCGGCGCCATGCGAACTGCGCCACAGGGACCTGAGGTGGAGCTCCCTATTGGAGCCGCGAAACGTGTGAGGGGTGTGCCAAATTGGGGCGGCGGCGCCATGCGAACTGCGCCACTGGGACCTCGGCGCCATGCGAACTGCGCCTCTGGGACCTCAGGTGGGGCTCCCTATGGGCCACGAAACGTGTGAGGTGTGTGCACACATGGGGCGGCGGCGCCATGCGAACTGCGCCACTGGGACCTTAGGGGGAACTCCCTATGGGGCTACGAAACGTGCGAGGTGTGTGTGTGTGTGTGTGCTAAAATGGGGCGGCGGCGCCATGCGAACTGCGCCTCTGGGACCTCAGGTGGGGCTCCCTATGGGCCCGCGAAACGTGTGAGGGGTGTACCGAAACAGAAACAGTATGAAGGCAGGGGCAAGGACTGGAGAAGGGAGGAGGGGGAGGAGGGAGGAGGAGGAGGAGGAGGAGGAGGAGGATGCGGGAGGGAGGGAGGGAGGTACGCGGGGCGCTGTCTCTTCAAAACGGGGACCCAACACCACAGGATGGTTGGGAACAAGAAGTCGCATGTCTGGGCTACTCCCATCCTCAGCGCAGCCCGCTAGGGCAGCCGCCTTGCCCTCCTTGGCCGCGGACAGCGCTGCCTTCTCCTCGTTCATGTCTTTGGTGTCTGCTGTCGTCTGGTCGTCGAGGGACTGCTTGAGCATCTGGGGCCGCCAATCTTATCATCGAACACTGGTCCCTGGATGGCCGGGCGTGCGATGTCTCTGAAGTGCGGCGAGTGTCACGGAAAAGTTTCCTTCGCGTCTCTGGCAACGGAACGCACCACCAACAATCATCACTAGTTGCATGATCTGTGCATCGGCAGAACAGGTGAGCGGAACGGCGAGGGCGGCCCTGCGCACGAGACAGCTGCGAACTTGCTGGGAGGAGTGCTACAATCGAGTTCCAGTGGAGAGGACAATCGAGCAGGGGGCATGCGTCGCGAAACACAGGACACAAGGGTATCCTTGGTTCGGCAGGGTCGACCTACAGTGGAGGCCAGTCCACAAGAAACCTTCCACAAGAAACCCAACCCTGAGACCCCAGGACGTCCTTTGGCTTTTGGTGTGGGAATGTCACGCTTTCCATCGCAAAACCATCAAAACCCAAGAAACCCAGGGCACCCTGGAGGCAAGCAGGGTGCTTCTTGGCATGAGCTTCCACTGTACTAATCAAACTCGACCGTATCCTTTCTCGCGCACCCTGACCCTTCCCCCTGGAGCATCCAGAGGGCGCGGGGGCCTCGCGGCGGGGGAATGGAGAGGGGGAGGTGGAGAGGAGTGCAAAACGGAGAGTAGCCAGAGTAGGGGAGGGATGAGATCGGCAGACTTTCCACAGGCCGTTCCCAATCTTACTTAGTCAGGGCTGCAAGAGGACTTCGAAGAGTGGCCTCTCGGGGAGGGCCTAAGCTGATGTGATGGGAGAATGGGGGGGAAGGGGGAGGACGGTAAGGATGACAATGAAAACGAAGATGAGGACGGATGACGGAGGAAGGGGATTGAGGGGGCCAAGAACACCCGACCCTTTCTCCAAGGCCGGTTTCTCACCCCAAATCATTTTGTTGACGCTCCCAGGGCCTGGCGAGGGCCCCCAAAGGCTGTCAACTGCCCAAAGCAGTCCGCCGTGATCTCTCAATCTCTCCACGATGCTAACATGTCTGGGGATGATGAGTGAAGAAGAACACCAACGACATTCGTTCCTTCCCTCGGGTCGCGCGTGGACGGGCCTCGTAGTTGTGCCTTGCGTTCGTCTCCGCCTTCCGCAGGCTGCTCAGCTGCTCCTCGGCCTCACACGAGAAGCTAAGGGGAGCAGACAAGATCGTATCGCATGCAATTCCAATGCACGATGCCCAGAAATGCTCGCGTATGAAAAGCACGACGGAAAACTGTTGTCAATTTGAGGTCCACCATGGACCGTCAAAGAACTTCGCGGGATGAGAAACCAACCCTGGGGAGAGGGTCTGGACTTCGGGGGACCAACGTGATGAACAAACCAAGACATCGCATGTCTGGGATGTAATGCAATTTCATTGCACGATGCCGCACGCTGCCTGCCTCTTTTCAACCTCGAACTCATTATTATGCTCAAACTTGTGAACGTCACCGTTCGATCACCATATTCATCTTATTCTGCACTAGCATAGCCGTCGCCATCGTCAGCCGTTCACAATGACGACGGCTATGATGGTGGAACCGACAACGAGCCCAGCTCAAAATACACCATCGAAATTGCTGCCAATCGATCGGCGCACCCTGTATGAACGACGACAGGAAACGGGTCTTACGCGAGATGGCATAGCGACCTTACGCGGCAGCTAACGTGGGCCGCCACTGCGGCACGCTTGATTGGAAACGAGAGCGCTTACGCGGGCAGCTTACGCGCCAATGTCGGCGCAGACGACCCCCCGATTTTGTGTCGCTCATATGGGTACGGGGTGCGATGACCAACAGCGGGCGTTGTCCCAGACCGACAGCGGCCGCTGCTGGGAGGGCTACTCTCTGTCTCAGATCGACAATTCCGAAAGGGCCGCGGCGAGGCCAGCAGCGAGCCCTGACCAAAATGCGCAGGAACGCGGCACCGCAGAGGAAGAAGAACGGCATACTATCGGACACAGGCCAGAAGAACATCTCTCACGAACATGAGACCCTCCGTCGGCCACAACAAACAGAACATCCAAGGGTGTCCTCCCCAGGATGCACAAGAACATCAGACAGATACGAAGAACACTAGGGTACCCTCCCCAACCTGACCTGGATCTCATACCTCGGTCCGGCTGTACCATCAACTGTGGGAGCTCCGCCCGAATTTCTTGGATCGGCGCTGGACCCACCTCCCTGGCGCTCGGAGCGCGCCAGGGGCGGCGCCAGAGGCGTCGCCAGGGCGGTCCAACGCCGATCCAAGAAATCCGCGCCGAGCTCTAAAAGTTTATGTGTATGCAATTGTTTCTTCTGCGATGTCTGAGGACAACACAGCCCACCCCCACCCCCAGACATGGTGGTCCAGGGGGTCCAGGCTGGAGGGTGAGGGTGGTTTGTGGCCCCCAAGAACCGAAACAGAAATTCCCTCCCCCCCCCAGCCAGGACCCCGTGGACCAGGGGGTTCTTGCTGGGGGGCCCCAAAAAACCCTCGACCCCCAGCCGGGACCCCCAGGATCACCAGGTCGGGAATGGGGGTCCTGGCTGGGGGTGGGCTGTGCTGTTCGCAATGTCTTGGTGGCGCGCAAAGGGGGGTGGGGAGAGGGGGGAAGGCTTCTTAGGCGGGCCCTACATCTACAGACAAGGCCCGCGCCTTCAAAGGAGCGAGGGTGCTTCTAGGAAGCCCTCCCCCTCCCCCTACCATGATTCGCCATCACTCGGACGTCCATTCCCCGTGCATTTTCCGATGTCGTGAGCGTATTGCTTCGCAGAATGCTCCACGATGCTCCTCGATGGTTGTCGCCGAGAAGGAAACTGCACACGTCCGAGCGATGCCAAGATGACCCCCTGAGACCTGGGCGCTGCATATTTTTCACGCCGAGCGTTTTGGCTCTGTTTCGAGCCCGGGCAGATCGATCTGGCTCGGAAATGAAGCAGAAAGATGAGGTCTGCAGTCATCGTGCTACCGTGGCGGGGAACGCTGGGGAATTTCTGCGGTCTGCAGTCATCTGCAGCAGACAGATGGGGTCTGCGGTCAGCTGCAGCATAAAGACGGGGATCGCTGGATGAGGAACGACGGGGCCTTTCTGGCCAAGGCTAGCCTCGGCCAAGAACATGTGAACGTTTTCTTAGTCGGCGTTTTGACATTGGGCGGAAGGGGGGGGAGGGGGGGCCTGGCTCCGGACCTCTGCTTAATGCGACTGTTTGCAGCAGTGCGTGCTATGGGGGAGATTACACCTGCTTGAAGCAGGCGCCCCAAACAGCCACGATCGAGTCCAGGGGGGAGGGCGTGCGAGGGTCCACGCCGATCGGCAAAACAATGAATAAGAAAACGGTCTCGTCCTCCTCTACCTCTGCCTCATTGGCGATGCTGGCGTGTCGACGAGCGTCCCTGGCCTGTGGACGTGATCCAGGAGTCGGCCACCAAGGCCGCAACAAAAACGGAGGACCTCGACGGCTATGTATTAGCCTTTGGTCTGCTTGGAAAGAGTTGTGCCTGGCAGCCCGTCTCAGACTCGCTACGTACCTGCCTGAGAAGGGGTGAACATCAAGTAGTATTTACACTTGCGCCAGCCTGATTCTCTCGAAGGGTGAGATCATTGTGGTCAACCTTATTCCCCTGCTGCCTGCCCTCCCTTCCTCCGCCCTCTACCCCCCCCCCTCTTCTCCCTGGCGGCCGCCCGAAGCCGCGCGCGGCGGACGGCGCAAGGCGGGGGGGGAGGAGGAGGAGGAGGAGAAGGAGGAGGAGGAGGAGGAGGAGGAGGAGGAGGATGAAGAGGAGGAGGAAGAGGAGGGGAAGGAGGAGGAGGAGGAGGAGGAGGAGGAGGAGAGGAGCAGAGGGACGAGGAGGAGAAGGAGCACCAACAGAGGGAGAGTGGAGGACGAGGAAGAGGACGGGGCGGGATGAGCAGGAGGTGAGGCGGGAGACGCAGGAGGTCAAGCTGGAGGAGGGGGGCGGGGGGCCTTCTCCTTCAGGTCCTCCAGCACGTCGAGGATACCGCCCGAATGCGACTGCGGAGCAATCCAGCGCGCCGTCGCCAACCGCTCCAGCTCCCTGCCCTTCCTCCACCAATCGTCCTCCTCGTCCTCGCCCGCGCCCGCGTCTCGATGGGGCCCTCGCCCTCCTCGTCGTCGTCCTCCTGGCCCTCCTCGTCCTCGTCCCCGCCATCGTCCTCCTCCTCGTCCTCCTCCTCCTCCTCGCCATCGCTCTCTTCCTTGTCCTCCTCGTCGTCCTCTTCCTCGTCCTCCTCGTGCTCGTCCCCGCCCTCGCCCTCCTCCTTTTCGTGCTCCCCCCCGAGGACGGAGCAGGAGTGCGGGGTGCGATCCGGCCAGGAGCCACGGCGGCCCCGGTGCTCCCTCGCCCCTCTCCCTCATGCCCCAGGGCAACGGTGTCCCGATCGTGTCCACATGGTGTTCCGATGGCTTTCCGATTTGTGTCCACGTGTGTCCGCGAGGTGTCCAGATGATGCCCCGATGGTGTTTCGATGGTAGGGGGGATCGCCTCACGCAAGAAAAATCAACATCGCATCGGGAAATCGGATGGGATCGGAATGTATATTGAATCGGACCGCGTCAACTCGGAGTCAGGATCGAATCGCGCCCGACGCCAGGATGCATAAAGCGCCATGCAAGCACCCGGCTGCATCGGATGGCACGAAAATCGGAATCGAATCAAATTGGGCCGCCAAGAGCCGATATCAAATCGGATCGATCGGATCGAAAATTGACCCTTACCTGGACTTGGCGATGCATCGCCGACGGATCGGCGATATGCCCCCGATGGCGAAGTCGCACGCGCGGCTCCCGTGATCCCTCCCCTTCCCCTCATCCCCCCACCTCCCCTCGCTGCGATGAAAATCACGACGGCTTTGGGAGGCCCGCGTCGGGCCTTGGGGCTGTCAAGAAAGCGACTCGGGATGGAACACAGGTCCCGGGGAAGGGGCCCAGACCTCCGAAGGACCAAGTTGCGAAACAATCGCGACGCGATATGCGGAGCCTCCCTCCCCTCCTCCCCCTCTTCCACTCCTTTTCCTTGCGAATGACTCCTCCCTGTCGTACCCCGAGCCGTGTTGGTAGCGCGGGCTGGGCGTTTCGCCTGAGACTCCCCACCACGTATGATGTATAAGCTGAGAAATGCAAGAGCTTCACGGATGGAGGGCGGGTCGTTTTGAACATGTACTTTATGCTGCAGCGCTGCACACTCTCGCCCTTGCAAAAGTTTCATGGATGGAAGGCGGGTCGATTCCAGAATGTGGTTTTCGCCTGAGCGCTGCGGTCATTCGTCCTGAGAAACGCAGGGCGTTCACGGATGGCGGGCGGGCCATCGAAATGTAGCCCTCGCCTTAGCACCGCGCACATTCGCCTTGAGACTTTGCCAGATTGTCACGGATGGAGGCCGAGGGGGAATCAAAATGCAGTTTTCGCTTTAGCGCCGCGCACAGAAGCCTTAACAAACATTACAAGAGCCTCATGGGTGGAGGGTGGTTCTTTTTCAAAAATGTCGATTCCCGATGCGATATGTGGCGCCTCCCTGGATATTCCCCGCGTGCCCGTTCCCTGGCTTGCACGAAGCCCCATCCCCCCCGTCCTTTTCGTCGTCATTACGGTTGCCACCCCAGGTTCGCTATCCCATCCAATCAAAGAGCAAAGGCCAACGGCTTGTTCATGAGGTACTCAGCTGAGACCCTTACTCTTACGATAAAGCCGGAGGCGTATCGAAGTACCCCATAGTCCCACCAGCCCTCTGGGCGCAGGTGGTCTAAGGCGTGTCCTTTTCCAACCTCTTTCCTGTCCCTGCTCGGGAAGTTTACCTCCCCCCTCTCCCTGCGGCTGGACGGGCTCCCCCGTGATGTGGCAGAGGGTCCTTTTCGGCCTAAGATGGTTCCAAGAGGGCTTCAGAAATCGCAAGATGGCCTCCAAGATGGCCCAATATAGCGGCATATGGCTCAACATAGCCTCCGACACGCATCCAAGAGGCGTCAAGACGGCCCCAACACGGTTCCAAGTGCCCTCCGTCCGAGCTGTCCGAAGACCCCCCCCAAGAGGCCAACATGTTTCAAAAACGCGAAGAAAATCAGAAGCGTTTGCCTTCTCATTTTTTCGCCTCCGATGTGCTCCTGAAGCCTCAGGATGGCCCCGAGGCGGCTCAAGATAGCCCCAAGAGGGGTTCAAGGGCCCCAAGACGGCCCCAAGAGTGGCCAAGAGCGCCCCAAACGCGGCCAAAAACGCCACAAAACTGCACGGTTGAGCCCTCGATGGGGGCGATCCGACTTGAAACATTTTTTTGGTTTTGCGAAAGGGTCCAAGATGGCCCCAAAGAGGCCCTTCAAACATCCCAAAAGAAGCCCAATAAGGCCCCCCGACCCCCAAAAGAGCCCCAAGAGGGGCCCAACACGCCCCCAAAGAGCCCCACGAGGGCCCCAAGAAGGCCCTAAGAGGACCGCAAGAGAGCCCCAAGAAAAAACTCCAGGAGGGCCCCAAGAGGGCCCCAAGAGAACGCCAAGAGAGCACCAAGGTGGCTCAAAGTTTCGAAACGCACGCGAATTAATGTACAAGTCAGTGCAACAGCCATTACGAGTCATCGAAACACCCCTCACATCTTCATCGGAGCACCATCGTAACTTGCACCGATTTCCAACTAAAGCATCAATGCGGGAAGCTCTTCGTGATCCCTATTCCCCCGACGACGGCTGTGCAACTGCACGCGTCCTGCCGCCCCTGATTCACCGACTCCCCGGCCGAACGTTTCTACATGGGCTGGTGGGGGTACTTTTCTGTTGGCCGACCGCTTGCGGACTGCCGCGCGGTGTCAACAGTCAAATGAAACCAGGCCTACGTGCAGGGCGAGAGCCGAGCTGGCGGGTGAGGATACTTTTTTTCAATCGCGAGCGACGCAGGCTGCTGCGCGCCGCCCAAACAGGTCGCAAAGCGAACGTCAGGGACAACGCCATTGACGCCGGAGACGCGCGGGAAAATACACAGGCGAAGCACAGTGGCAACGCGGCAGAGGCAGGAGCGAGCGAATACAACAGAGGAAGAGGGCGAAAACGAGGGGACACAGGAAGAAGGAAAAGGAGTGGCGAGCGAGACGCGGAAAAGAAGACGGGCGCGCAGGAGATCAGGCTCAGGCAACGACGAGGACGAAGCACCTTGCCGAAGAGCTGGGACTTGAAGCACTGGGGGGGGTAGCGAAATGGCCACAGACGCAGACCATAGGGTAAGCGACGTCCAATCCAGCGGGCCGTCTCCAGGGGCATCAGATAAGCCGCATGGCAAGCGCTCACCAGGAGCCACCAGGGGTATGGGCACGCCCCAAGTGCGACGAGGAGAAGGGCCCGAAGGCTAGCCCACTGCCGACAATGACAAATCAGCCCAGCAGGGGGGATGGCCGTTAACCTGCCGCGTGCGCGACCCAGGGCCGGGGCGCAGCCGTCAGAAGCCAACGGCCCGATGAGGGCAAGCGCGGACGCGCCAGGAACCTATTCCTGTGGGGGGGGGGGCCGCGAAGCCTGGGACGGGCGCGCGGTCTGGCGGGGCACAGCTGACAGCCGCCGAAAGATTGTGAAAAGGGTCCGCCTGAAACATACAGCTGCGCTGGCAATGGACAGCCTGGGTCACCCCGCTGCCCGGATCGAATCCGAACATCAGCCGCGGGATGGAGGGGATTCGCTCCACCTGCGGTGCTGGTTCGCTGGCAGGGTGCAGCTGACAGCCGCAGCAAGATGGGGATTGTTCTGGTAGGGTGCAGCTGACAGCCGCCGAAAGATTGTGAAAAAGGGTCCGCCTGAGACAAATTTCTGCGCTGGCACTGGACAGCCTGGTCACCCCGCTGTCCAGTGCGAGTCGACAATTCCGACGCAGGATGGAAGGGGGTCACTCCGCCTGCGGTGCCGGATCGCTGGTAGGATGCAGCTGACAGAAGCAGCAAGATGGGGATTATTCTGGTAGGGTGCAGCTGACAGCTGCAGGAAGATGAGTAGGGCTCGCCTGGGACATTGCTGCGCTGGCATTGGGCACAGCCGCCACACCAGTCCATTGGACTCCAACCGTCAGCCGCAGGATGGAGGGGGGGTCACTCCACCTGCGGTACCGATTTGCTGGTAGGGTGCAGCTGACAGCCGCAGCAGGATGGGAAATGCACTGGTAGGGCGCAATTGACAGCCGCAGAATGTCTGAGTAGGGCACGCCGGAGACAACTGCTGCGCTGGCGTTGGGCACGGTCACCACGCTGCCTCGCCCGGATAGAATTGGCAGCCGCAGAGCGGAGGGGGGTCACTCCGCCTGCGCTGTGCCAGGTCTCTGGTTGGGTGCAGCTGAGAGCCGCACAGGAATGGGGCTGCCCTGATCGGGCGCAGCTGACAGCCGCAGGAATATGGAGAAGGGACTGCCTGAGACATTGCTGCGCTGACATGGGGCGCAGCCACAGCGGCTGGCGGGGATGCACGAAGCGTCGAGAATTTCTCCGGATGGCGAGAAAGATGAGACAAGAAACAAGATATGGGATGGAAGGATGAAGCATCGGTGGAAGTGGCCTTCATCCGACGCCCAGGTTCGGAGGCGTCTCGCGGACGCGAGACAAGCAAAAAGGGCAGCGCTGCCTTGGGCCAGGGTGGCGCAATTCGGATATAGCGCTCGCTATACCATCCCCCTCCAGCTCCGCTCAGAGTCGGAGGGGGGGGGGGGTCGCGCGTTGGGCCCGGCCCCGATCTACATTACATCAAATAAAGAGGAAGGTAGAGCTGTCGCTTGTTCGACAAACCTAGCAGCCCAACGCACTAGGGCCCGCTGTGGGCAAGACCGCACGACCGACCACATATCATCATGGGCAATCACGGGCAAGACCGCGTGGCTCACCGCGGGCACGCATGGATAATCACGGGCAAGACCGCGTGAGTATCCGAAGATGATTCGGGCGCGTCTGGCCACGTGCCAGACGTCAAAGCGCGCGGAGCAAAAAAAGGGCCCGACCGCGTCGACAGCCACCCAAAAGGGTGGCCCGTGTCGTGTCCGGGCAGCGAAGTGCACGCAGCCCGTGTCCGAGCTGCAATTGGCCTTAAGTAGCCAATCGCAGCCTGCATCCGAGATTAAGTTGGCTGTAAGTTAGCCAATCGTATACGGTGTCGGCTCGCCCTGAATGGGGCATCCATAAGTTGATGCTGTCGCTTTGCTGCCTCGATGAGGTATGTGCTGCTGTGCCTCGTATTTGGAGGGTCGTAGTTGAAGTCGTCGAGGGGCTCCGCTCCCCCCTGAGGCTGCCGCTCCACCGGGGGCCTTGGGTTAGGTCGGGCATGTCCTCCTACAGGCGGATCTTGGGCGAAAAATGAACCATACCCTTAAAATGCACCAAAAAGGAAACATAACCCCAAAAAGTCCCCAGACGTTTTTGTGATACTATTTTTGATTATTCCTCCTGTAGAGGGACAAGCCCGACTTAAGCCTTGGCGCTGGGTCGGCTTTCCGATGCTGCCAAGGACGAAAAACTGGGGTTCCGATGTTGTCGGCTTTGCGATGCTGCCGACTCAAAAAAAGTTTGGGGCCCCTTCCCGTCGGGGGGCAGAGCGGCCCAGCGGAGCCCAGAATGTCTGATATGGCTCGCAGTGCTCGCCGAGTTCACGGGCCATGGGGCTCGCGTGGTAAAAAATGCCCGGTTGGGTTCATGGCGCCCCTGGGGCTCATGGGGCTGCCATGGCACGCGGGGCTCGCAAGGCCCAGAAAACCGACGCGGCCTTGACGACTCAGGGGGCCAGGAGGCCCGCACGGCTTGGCGGGGCCCGCGCGGCGCATGGGGCCCATGCGCATTTCGGCGCACATGTGGCCCAGAACAACTTTCTGGGACTCATGGGGTATTCATGGGGCTGGCGCGGTTCGCACGGCCCACAAAAGCCCCAGACGGCACGTGGAAATCCTAAAGCTCATTGGAGGACGTCGTGAAGGCCCGCGTTGCTCCCACGCGCGCGGAGCTGGTACTCATCGGGGCGGGACACGTGAGCCCGGAGCCCGAGGACACGGGCGACGGCATTCAACAGAGGCTCTGGTTTCTCTTTTACAAAGGGAATATTTGTGCTGATGTCGGTCTCCGGTGCGCATAGCGCGCTTTGGCTTGCTCAAGGCGTTGGACGTTTGGGTTACAGCGGACCCCTTGACGAACGTCAACCGTTGGCCCTCCCTCGATCGCTGTTGGCCCTACCGACCTCACAACAGCCCGTCCGCCTAGCCCCGACCCCCAGGATCTGGCGTCCGTCCCACCCCGCTCCGCCGGTCGGGCAGCCCGCATACGTACCAGCACCAGGGGGGGAAAGAAGGCGAGGGAGGGAGGGCGGAGGAAGCGAGGAGGACCAGTGCAAACCCAACACTCATCAACAAAAATGTTGAATACACCCTCCCTCCACGCTACGTCTTCATAAGCCCCTACCAGGGTTCATTTCCACTCAGGGACGTGCCCCGTTGGGAGACAACCGTCAGAAGATCCCGAAGCGCGCCAGAACACAATTCTCGAAACTTCACTGCCACGGATCAACCTGACCACTGCGTCTTGGCGATCCTGGATCGTGCCAGAACTCCACTTCTGAAACTTCAACACCGCGAATAAACGTAACTGATGTGCTCTGACATTCATGACTCATTCCAAATAATGGTTTCTGATACTTGTACCTATGGGAACACGTGGAATTAACTCTTACAACGTGTGAAATCGAATGTGCGCAACGCTGAAGCGAGAACCAACCACATGTTTTAAAACGGCCCGCCCTCAATCCGTGAACCTCCTGCAAATTCATCAACTTTTAAGCTTCGGCCTGCCCTTCCGACTGGCCTCGGGGTGCGACAAGGAGTAGTTATTTACTATGAAAAAGACTGGAAACGGGAAGAGATGGGAGGAGGGAACGGGAAGGTGGAAACGGAGGAAGGATGAAGTGGGAGGGACCGGAGGAGGGAGGGAAGAGCAGGGCTGCCATGAGACGAAGGGGGTCCGTGGGTAATCTAATCGGGCCCGGGGCCCCTGGGATTCCCCCGAGCTGCTGCGGGAAGGCGCCCCAGCGGCAGAGAAGGACATCGCCCGCCTTGTAAGCGTCGGCTGCGGGGGCGCCGAACAGCTCCGTGTCCGCCTGGGGGTCAGCATGACGGCCACGACGACCACGCCGATGACGGGGACGGCAGAAGGAGGGGGGAGGAGGGTTCACTAAGTTGTTGTGGGTGGTGTGTAAAGGCCTCCCAGATGATGGGGTCCGAATAGATGGTGTCGGAGGATCCCGCAGCATCGACAATGCATCGGCGATGCATCGCCGACGTCGGCGACGCATCATCGGTGACGCCAGCGTCGAGACACTCGGGCTCCACATCGCGCCACATCGTTAACGCATCGGCGATGCATTCCTGACGTCGGCGACACATCGACGGCGACGCCGGCGTGGAGACAATCGGGCTCCACATCGAGCCCCATCGCCGATGCTTCGGCGATGCGGCGCGATCGTCCGACCCCATGTGCTCGGACCCCATCTGGAAGGCCCGGGGAGGAGGAATGACTCATTTGTTGTGGGTTGTGTGTGCGTGAGGGGGGGGGGTCCGCCCCCTCTTGGTGAGGCTTCGGGTTGCGCAAGGAGAGCCCCCCCCAGGTAGCCCTGGCTGGCCTCAACAGGCCCCCCGAGCACGGTCGGACCTGGGATTAGGTCGGGCATGTCCCCCTACAGGCGGATTTTGGACGGAAAATTCAAATACCACAAAAATACTCCAAAAATGCTCAAACATAATCCAAAAATCGTCCCCAGACAATTTTTACTATTTTGGAATATTCCCCCCGTAGAGGGACAGGCCCGACCTAAACCTGGGACAGAACGACATCCTTCAAGAACATGAGGCACTCCGCCAGCGAAGACAGGCCAAACCACAAGATTGCTCGACGGTGCCCTCCCCCAGAATGCACAAGAACATCGAACAAGCACGGAGAACATTAGGGCACCCTCCCCGAACCGACATCGATCTTGTACCTCGGTCCGACCGTAGTCTGGGGCGGTCTCAGCACCCTTACCCTAGGGCGCGGAGCGCCCCAGGGGCGCCGCCGGAGGCGGCGCCGGTTGTTGAGACCGCTGGGACTACTTGGGGGGCCTGTTGAGACCATCTGGAACTACCTGGGGGGGCGCCGCCTGTCCGCAGCCCGCAGCCTTGCCACCCCCTTTCTGGCCACCGGAAGGCCTCCGTTGGCATCTAATGGACTCTGGGCATCTCTACTGGGCGCCGCTGAATGCGGGGGGCCATTCATGTGGAGGGGAGAAAGGTGCACTTCTCGGCACCTGAAGGCCCGCTTTTGGACCCTAAAGGGCCCCTGTAAAGGGCTCCTCTTCTGGAGCCCTCGCTGCCACTCCATTTATCGCCCCCCCATTACGCTGCCTTCAACTCTGGAGGCCTCCGTGACCTCCGCGAACCCCAAACCTCAAGCGACTTCAGCAACTCGCGCTGCAATGGAGAATTGCTCCCAATGTGCGGCTTTCCCACAAGATGCTTCTTTTCTGGGCCCCCTAGGAACTCAAACAAATGCGCGGGCTGGGACACTGGTGCTGCGGGAGGGTCTGGTCGGACGGAAAGGGGGATGTAAGGGGGGGTCAACAAATCAACTCACGCAGTTGGCTTTCCCGGCGCCTCCTGGCGCAAGTATCCAGGAAGGCGCCTGGCGGCGAGGCCGAAACCAGCTGCACGCAGCAGGTTTCGTACCCCCCTTCCTTCCTAATCCCACCGTTTATAAAGGGGCCCTGGGACACACAAATAAATAGACACTAATCCCTAGATTCACTATATTTTCCTGTATGTTCTGGGTTTCCGTCTTCCCCCCCACTTCCCATATTTTCCTGTATTTTCCGGGGAGTCGACAATTAATTGTGTCTGTGTTTATTCCCCTCCTGATGTTCGTCCGACCCGAGAGGGGTCGAGAGAACCAGGGCCCCCAAAGAATCTGGCTGCCGGAGGTCTGGGGCTCTATGTGCAGAACCGCGCACGTCGTGCTCCTCCCAGCTCCCCACAGCATGGTGAACCTTCACGACTTTCCGCTCACACCATTCGTTACTTGTAGGATTTCGGAAACCCTGTACCCCAAAACGTATTCATCTCTTGGGGGCGCATCTGTTACTTCCGCCGCCTTCCGCCGGCGGAGGCCGCCTCGTTTTACCTCCGCCGACCTTCCGCCGCCTTCCGCGGCGGAAGAGATGACAACTCTTTCTACCCTCGAATGCAAGGCCGTTTTTGGAACGCCTCACTTGTCCAGATGGACACACAAGAGTGCCCGAGACTCGCACAGAGGGGGAAGGGGCAAATGAGGGGGGGGGTGGAGGGGCAGGGAGGGCCAACATCAATGTTTAAATCGCAGGGCCTACGTCCTTGGATATTCTGAATGCGCTACTGTGCTCACGTAGGAGAACGCCAACACCGACGCAGGTCATGACCAGGCCCATCCTGGGACCAGGACCTGTGTACGAGCAGGATGGGCCGTACAGCCAAGCTGCTACCAGAGTGAACACCAAATAAGGAACGAAGCCCTGTTTTGGTCCGAGGAGCGACTGGGTGCATGAGGATCGCGACAAGAAGAAACATCGGAACAACCTAAAGAACAGCGAGCCCCTTCCGATCGGGAGCGTCCAAGAGGGGGGGGCGCAAAGCATGGCGGGTGGCATGTGCGCGACCCAGGGGGGGGGGCTGGGGGCGAAATGAACAAAGAAGAGGCGGCATGAGATCTGGGGAGATATCATGGCCCCCGCCATGAGATCCCCCCCCCGCACTAATGATCACCCCCCCGTGGCCGCCCCCGATCCGAACCCGTAATTGCTGTTACTGGGAGGACAGAAAGGCGCCGATACCGATACTTCCCAGACCTCTCCCAGGAGGCGCTCTGCCCAGAATCGCGAGGAGACTCCAACCGTGGCGGCGAGGGCTCTCCACGACGAGCAGCGGCATCGGTACCCGACGATGCGAAGCGCGGCCTGTTGCCCAGACCCTCCAGGCCAGCTCAAATCAGACACCCTTACCAAATCAGACCACGATCATTTCATTGCGAATCTGGAGTAGTAGCTACTGGGGGAGCGAAGGATGACATGAACATACATTGTCAGAGAGAGGTCCGTGCGGGTTTTCTGGGTCGGCGCTGGGACACTCCTCCCTGACGCGCGGAGCGGCGCCGGAGGCGCTGTGGGGGCGGGGCAATGCACATCGGGAGTAGCTCACCGAGGGGAGAGGGGGGAGGTCGAGGAGGGAGGGGGAGGTCGAGGGGGGTGGTCGAGAAGGGAGGGGGGGGTCGAGGGACCACTCCCTCTTCGACCTCCCCTTCCCTCGTCGACCTACCCCCTCCATGCTACTCTGTACTGGGTACGTGATATTGCCAAAATGGGCATGTGAAACGCATGCGGGCGGTAGCACTGGGGCCGTCGGTGGAGTTCCCGATGGGGCCACGAAACGCAGTACTGGGTGGGTGAAAATGTCAAACTGGGTGTGGGACGCATGCGAGCGGTCCCACTGGGGGCTTCGGTGGAGCTCCCTATGGGGCCACGAAGCGCTGTACTGGGTGGGCGAAATTGCCAAATTGGGTTTTCGGGACGCATGCGGACGGTGGTGGCAGTGGGGCCTTCGGTGGAGCTCCCTATGGGGCCACGAAGCTTTGTACTGGGTGGGCGAAATTGCCAAATTGGGCGTGTGGGACGCATGCGGGCGGTCCCACTAAGAACTTCGGTGGAGCTCCCTATGGGGTCACAAAACGTTGTACTGGGTGGGTGAAAATGCCAAATAGGGTATGTGGGACGCATGCGGGCGGTGGAACTGGGGGCTTCGGTGGAGCTCCCTATGGGGCCACGAGACTTTGTACTTGGTGGGTGACAGTGTCAAATTAGGTATTTGGGACAAATGCGGGCGGCCCCACTGGGTTCTTCGGTGGAGCTCCCTATGGGGCCACAAACGCTGTACTGGGTGGGCGAAAATGCCAAATTGGGTTTTCGAGACGCATGCGGACGGTGGCACTGGGGCCTTGGGTGGAGCGCCCTATGGGGCCACGAAGCTTTGTACTGGGTGGGTGAAAAAACCCAAATTGCGCTTCTGGGACGCATGCGGACGGTGGCGCTGGGGCCTTCGGTGGAGCTCCCCATGGGGCCACGAAACGCTGTACTGGGTATGCGAACTTGCCAGATTGGGTTTTCGAGACGCATGCGGACGGTGGCACTGGGGCCTTCGGTGGAGCTCCCCATGGAGCCAAGAAACGCTGTACTGGGTATGTGAAAACACCAGATTGGGTTTTCGAGACGCATGCGGACGGTGGCGCTGGGGCCTTCGGTGGAGCTCCCTATGGGGCTACAGAATTTTGTATTGGGTGGGTAAAAATGTTAGATTTGGTTTTCGCGACGCATGTGGCCACCCCCACTGGGGCCTTCGGTGGAGCTCCCTATGGGGCCACGAAACGCTGTACTGGGTAAGTGAAAATGCCAAATTGGGCTTCCGAGACGCACGTGGCCACCACCACTGGGGCCTTCGGTGGAGCTCCCGATGGGGCCACGAAACGCTGTACTGGGTGGGTGAAAATGCCAAATTGGGTTTCCAGGACGCATGTGTCCACCTCCACTGGAGCCTTGGGTGGAGCTCCCTATGGGGCCACGAAGCGCTGTATTGGGTGGGTGAAGCTCAGGGAGGAGGGGGGAGGAGGAAAGAGGCGGGAGGAGAACGCGGGGCGCCGTCTGTTCAAAACGAAGACCCAACACCACAGGATGGTTGGGAATCAACATGAACTTTCGCCGGTCCGCGCGGATTTCTTGGATCCGCGCTGGACTCCTCTCTGGTGCGCGGAGCGCGCCAGGGGCGGCGCCGGAGGCGCCGCTAGGGGGGCCCAGCGCAGATGCAAGAAATCTGCGCGGAGCGCCAAAAGTCTATGCTTACAACGTTGTTTCTCCTTCGATCCTCCCTCCTCGACCTCACCCCTCCCTCATCGAACCTCCTCTCCCTCCTCGACCTCCCCCTTCCTCATCCACCTCTCCCCTCCCTCCTCGACCTCCCCCCTCCCTCCTCGACCTCCCCCCTACCTCCTCGACCTCCTCCTCCATCCTCGACCTCCTCCTCCTCCTCCTCCTCCTCCTCCTCCTCCGAATGCAAGACTTCAACGTCTTGACTGCCCGTGGGCGAGCAGAAGGCGCCTTCGAGGCCCACGGCACACGCCGCCCCCCGGGCGGGCAACTGGAGCGCGCAGCGGCCCGCTCCTCGGCGCGTCTCCGAGCAGCAACGCCGCCCCGCGAGGGATGTTTGGGCCCGCGGAAGCGCCTCGTCCTCCTCCTCCTCCTCCTCCTCGTCCTCCTCCTCCTCCTCGTTCTCCTCCTCCTCCTCCTCCTCCTCCTCCTCCCTCTCCTCCTTCCTCCTCCTCCTCCTCCTCCTCCGCCTCCTCCTCCACCGCCTCCTCCCCCTCCTCCTCCAGCGACGCAGAGCGCCGCCTCGTCCTTCTCCTTCGACTGGACCAGAGCCGTGAGCCTCTGCTTGTCGGCACTAGTGAATCCGGCCGCGTCGACCACGGTGCTGAGGGCCTGCCGCATCATCAACAACCTCCTGCTCCTCCTCAACATCGTAATCATGATCATGATCATGATCGTGATCGTGGTCATGGTCATGATCATCATCATGATCATCATCCTCATCGTCCTCCTCATTATCATCATCAACATCGTCAGCATTAACATCATCACCATCATCATCATCACAATCATCATTTGCATCATCAATTTCATCATCATAATCATCAACATAATCAACATCATCATCAGCAGCAGCATTACCGTCATCGTTATCATCATCATAATCATCATCGTCGGCATCATCACCACCAGCACCATCACCATCATCATCATCGTCATCAGACGCATCAGCATCACCATCATCACCAGCATCACCATCATCATCCACATCACCATCACCATCGACATCGCCACCGTCATCACCTTCAACATGACCATCACCATCACCATCATCCTCATCATCATCACCACAGGCACCACCACCATCGCCCCCACCTACATCACCATCACCATCAACATCATCGTCCTCCTCTTCATCGTCATCATCACCATTCAAATCAACATCAACATCAGTATCATCGTCATCAACATCATCACCACCACCACCAGCATCATCAATCATATCATCAATCATATCATCATCATCATCATCATCATCATCATCATCATCATCATCATCATCATCATCATCATCATCATCATCATCTTGATCATCATCTGGATCATCATCATCATCATCATCATCATCATCATCATCTTCTTCCTCATCATATCATCATGCTCCCTCGTCCCTCCTCCTGGTTCCATCACCTACCCCTCCTCCCCGAAACCTTCACCAAACCGCTCACGTTGGACACGTCCATCTGCGCGAAGGCTGCCTGCAGGCGGCGGCGCCCCACTTCCCCTGCGTCGGTTCCGAGGCCGAGCGATAGGCGGCGAAGCCGGAGAGGGACTCAGGACTCAGATGCCCGCGAAACAATCCAGTGAGGGCATCGCTGAGACGCAAAGCACTGAGACGCAAAGCTGACCAAGCTGCCAGCAGGAGCGAGCGGGATTGTGTATACATAATGGCCCAGGTGCGCGAAATCATTCACTCCGAGGACATGGGATGCCATCGCTGCGGGAGAACAAGCACGAACCTCGAGGGGAGGGCAGGGCAGATAGGGGGAAATACAGCCATCGAGCGCGGCATGCAGAACGAAGGGGCGTTCCTGGCCACGGCACGGAGGGCCTGGGCTTCGAATGGGACCCGCGACTCGAAATCTAAGGAACGGCCCGAAACGCAGAGCCCCTCCTCCGCCCGAAATGGTCTTCAACTCAGCGTCCTGACTTCCAGGGGGCGAGGGAGCGGGGAGCCGGGAGGAAGGAATTCCGAGGAGGCAGGAAGGTAGCTACGGAGGAGGGGCAGGGGGGAGAGTCATGAGCGGATGGAATTGGCCAGGGACTGACCGTCCTGTTATTCCTACAGGCCTACCACGACAGCCTCTTAGAACGCAAGAGTGTTTCACTACCAGCAATTTCACGAGAGAAACAACCCAACCAATGGATGTCCTGGAGTCCTCGCATGCCCTCTCCTTCTCTTTCTGTCACTCTCTCTCCCTCTCTGTTGTATGCCTTTTTAAACTACCGTCTCTGGACCGTCCCCGTCTATTTGATATTCCCTCGCACATGACTCTGCACTTTATTATCCTGGACGCACCTTCAATTGTACATGTGTACGCGCATCTGCTGCTACATAGTATGATTATGTTTATATATTATATTATAGATATATTGTATTATATCTACGTCCATCTCTCTGCCTCTGTCTGTCTGTCTGTCTGTCTCTCTCTCTCTCTCTTTCTCTCCCTTTCTCGATGTATACACCCAACTTCGGCCTATGCTCTCCGATCTGTACTCTGTCTCCCTCTCTCTCTCTATACGTATGTACAATAGTCGCTCTCATTCTGACCTCACCATCGGGATCTCACTTTTAAAGCTTACAATGGTCGCACATGATCTCTCCCTCTCTCTCTCTATCAAATGTCCTCTCTCTTTCTCTTTCCGTGTATCTCTTTCTTTCAACCGCTTTCTATTCCGTCTCGCCCTCTCTCTCTCTCCAATACGTGTTGGTACCAAGCTTAATATGTAAACCCTCGAGCGTGCATAAACCCTCTGTTCTCTGATATATATATATATATGTATACTAGAACCACGCGCGCTACGCGCGCTTAGGTTCTAGTCACGGCATCATGGCGCCAAAGGATGCCACGGCAAGCAGTACCAGCGACAGCGGATGTCGTTCCAGAGGGTCCTGACGGCCGACCCTTGTAAATCTCGTATTGTGCTGCCTCCGTCGTGGCATAACTCCGTCGCAGTGTATTCATTGCAGGAAGGTTCCAGAACTGCCTGGACTGGACCAGACTGAATCGAACGGCCGCGAACCAGCGTCCCCACCAAGACGAATCGAACCGAACCAGAATGGTCGCGGTAAAGACCCGAACCGAGCCGAACCAAGATAGCTCGTGGACCGAATGGCCTTCGAGGATGGCCTTCAGGTGCACAAAACTAAGGCCCATTGCTCGGAGGCCGACGTCACCAGAGGGCGCACCACATTTTGGGAGCGTAAGGCTAACGCCAGTGCCGACGCACTTGCAAAAAGGGAAGCGGGCTTGCACCCGTCAGTGGAGCAGGCTGCCCGAGAGACCGCTGGTCTTAAGCTTCTGGGGCGGGAGTTGGGCCAGTGGGCTGGTCGTCAGGGCGTTCTGATGAAGGAGCGGGGTTGGGATGACTCTGAGGGCCTGCCTGACAAGGGCCATTCGGCTCGGTCGTGGCGTGCGGGCCCTCGAGAGCGCCCCGTGTCTCCCGTCGTGGTGCGTTTTCGTGTTGTGCTCTCAGCAGTGGCTGACTCAGGGCCCAGAGACCCCGAGCTCGCCATTTTGATGAGGCTATCTCAGCATAACTTGAGAGTTCGCAAAGAGTTTGACAGTGCTGGTGCCTCTGTGGTGGCCGCCCCACAATTGATCTGCTGTATGTCGTCTGGTGCTTATGCGTGGGGCGGTGTCCGCGGGCTCAGTGACAGTGTGTGCCACGGGCACAACGCGGGGTCAGGGCTGAAGCAACAGCGTTCAAGGCTGTCCCGCTATAAGGGCTGGAGTGTTAGTGTCCTCGAGCGGCCAGGCCCTGGGGACCTCTTGGGCCTCGCCAGGGCGATCCTCGGCCGTCCCCAGGCCCGCGCGGCCCTCCCTGTCGGCAGGGCCGTATTCCCCAGGGGGGCCGCCGTGGGATGTCCCGCTGGGGGGAGGGCCCCTCCTCGCCCGCTGCGGCCTCACTGGCGCCTCGCTCCCGAGCTGGGTGCTGGAGGCGGGCCGTGGGGCGGGGGGGAAGGAGAGGAGGAGCAGTTTTAGTCTGCCTTTGCTTTATCTCCGCGGCTGGTATCTTGGACGCCTCCCGCCGTCGTCTTATCTTATCTTATCTTACCTCCTCCTCTTCCTCCTCCTCCTCCTCCTCCTCCTCCTCCTCCTCCTCCTCCTCCTCCTCCTCCTCCTCCCCCCCTTCCTCCTCCTCGCCTTCCCGCCCTTTCTCCTCCTCCTCCTCCTCCTCCTCCTCCTCCTCCTCCTCCTCCGCCGTCGGCCCTCCGCCCTCCTCCTCCTCCTCCTCCTCCTCCTCCTCCTCTTCCTCCTCCTCCTCCGCCTCCTCCTTATCCTCCTCTTCCGCCTTCTCTGTCTCAACCTCCTTTTCCACCTCATCCTCTCCTCCTCCTCCTCCTCCTCCTCTCCTCCTCCTCCTCTCCTCCTCTTACCTCCCTCCCTCCTTTCCTCCCTCCCTCCTTCCCTCCCTCCCTCCTTCCTCCTTCCCTCCCTCCCCTTCCCCTCCTCCTCCTCCTCATCCTCCTCCTCTTCCTCCTCCTCTTCCTCCTCCTCGTCCTCCTCCTCCTCCTCCTCCTTTTCAGTTTCGTCCTCCTCCTCCTCGTTCTCCCCGTTCTCCTCGTCCTCGTCCTCGTCCTCGTCCTCATCGTGCTCCTGCTCCAACTCCTGTTCCTGCTCCTGTTCCTGCTCTTGGTTCTGCACTTGCTCCGGCTCCTGCTCCTGCTCCTGCTCCTCCTCGTGCTACCCCTCCTCTTCTTCTTCGTATTGCTATATTATTAGTAATACGATTAATATTAGTATTATGAGTATTATAAATATGACCCTTGTTCCGATTATTATTATTAGTAGTAGTAGTAGTAGTAGTAGTAGTAGTAGTAGTAGGAGTAGTATTGTTGTTGATGTTGGTGTTATTCGCATGATTATTAGCATTGTTTGTATTAGTAGTATTATTCTTAGCATTAGTATTACAATTCGTACTATTATTATTATTAGCTATATTATTATCATTAGTATTAGTATTATTATTATCAGTAGTATGATTATGATTATTAGTATTACTATTCGTATTCGTATTATTATTATCAGTATTATCATTCGTATTAGTCTTAGTGTTGTTATTGTTGTTATTATGAGAAGTGTTATTAATAGTAGTAGTATTACCAGTGTTCGTATTAGTACTATGGTTGTTGATATTCGTAGCCTTATTAAGATTAGTAATGCTGCGACGACTCATATTACAAATCTTATTAGTATGATTATTAATTACTACTCATAGCGATTACACTCTAAGCTTAGCATTCGTATTGTGATTAATAATGTTGGTATTCTTAATAGAATGAACATTCGTCTTCTTATTATGCTTAGTATTCCTTTTCTTCGTAATGGTATTATTATTGTCCGTGTTATTAGTATCCTGGTTTTTCGTCTTCGTCTTCTTAGTCATATTCTTCCTCCTCCTCCTCTTCCTCGTCCTCCACCTCCTCCTCCTCGTCCTCGTCCGTGTCCTCATCCTCCTCGTCCTCTTCGTCCACCTCGTCCTCTTCGTCCTCTTCGTCCTCCTCGTCCTCGTCCTCGTCCTCCTCGTCATCCTCCTCCTCCTCCTCCCCATCCTCCTCCTCCTCCTCCTCCTCCTTTTCGTCCTCCTCCTCTGTTTATGTTGCGTCTTGTTGGTGTTCCTCTGCTTCTTGCTATCATCGTTCTTATGCTATTATCATTATTATTATCAGTATTATTATTATTATTAGTATTCGTATTCGTATTCGTGCTTTTAGAATTCGTAGTATTGTGATGTGCCTAATGTTTGCTGTTTTTGTTTATTCCTCCTCCTCCTTTTCCTCCTCCTCCCCCTCCTCCTCCTCTTCCTCCTCCTCCTCCTCCTTTTTTTCCTCCTCCTGTTGTTTTCCCTCCTCCTCCTCGTCCTCGCCATCGTCCGTCCTCGTCCTCGTCCTCCTCCTCATCGCCCCCCTCGTCCTGCTCCTCTTCCTCGTCCTCGTCCTCCTTTTCCTGCTCCTCCTTTTCCCCCTCCTCCTCCTCCTCTCCTCCTCCTCCTCCTCCTCTTCCTCCTCCTCCTCTTCCTCGTCGTCCCTCCTCTCCTCCTCCTCCTCTTCCTCCTCCTCCTCCTCCTCTTCCTCCTCCTCCTCCTCCGCCCTCCTCCTCTTCCTCCTCCTCCGCCTCTTCCTTCCCCTCCTCCTCGTCCTATTCCCCTTTTCCTCCTCCTCACCTAAGTCCAAACCTGCAGCGCGTGTCCCCATGAGCGTGCGCGCCGAAACCAACACTTACATGTCTGGCTCTGGCCAGACCTTATATTCTGGGGGGAGCTTCCCTTCGGACAGGGTTTTTTGCACACGCCTGCCCCATTCGCTCACGCGATCGGGTTGGCATTCTCCCCCCAGTATGACGAATTTTCCCCGCGTGCCCGTGGCCCCGCAGGTGGCGCCAGAAAAGAACCCTTGCAGAAATCCCGCCGATGCGTGGGATCGCTGCCTTGCGGGACCGTGGCGCAAGGGGTTGCAAGCCAGTCCAGCTTATTT